ATGATGAAAGCAGAAAACATTTTTCCTATTTTTGAAGGTGTTTTTTTCATTGGCGGAAAATGTTTTCCTTGACTAGTTTATTTTCCATGAACCGAACGCAAAAAAATCCGAAAAATGTTTTCTTGAAAGTAATTTTCCGTGAAACGAACGGAGTTTAAAAGAAAATAAAAAAATGGAACCACTCTTCTTTGTTCCCTTTCTCTACATTGTAGATCGAAATTGGTATTTCACAAAACTAGATTTGAACTTTCTCGATTTGGAACTCTTCCTGTGAGCGATTTTGGATTGATAGAGAAACAGACACATACACTTACTCAGCTTTTCGAATGTTAGAAAACGAAAATAATGATATGTACTTGCCATGTATAAAACCTACTTGATAAATGTACGTTGGTAAGGACATTTACTGGCTAGCAATATCACTTTGCGTAATGTTTCCATATTCATAAAGGCTAAATTTGGTAGTCGAGATAAAATTATTATTCTATCCCGTGTTTGGTGCCTGCCCCAGACAGGATAAAGTCGGATATATGAAGGATATAGCTCGGATAAAATTATCCCATGGGAGAGGTAGGATAAAGATGGATATAATTTCTAATATTCATAATATAAAAGTTATTTTTCTTGAATGCAAAACTTGTTAAATTAATAAAATTAAAATAATATTTGAATATAAATAATATTTGAATTTTAATATAAAAATAACAAAAAAAAATAAATTCGTTTTTATTTATATATTCATGTTTCTTTCTATCTTATGACATAAATTTCATATATATATAAATACATTTAGTATTTATATTTATTACATATTTTAGGTATATTTGTATAGTTTATTGTTTAATAAAATTTTATTAGAGAATAATGGAAGGGGAAAAAATAAATAAAAAAGAAAATAATTAAAAAAGAGAGGAAAAAATAATTGAAAAAAAGAAAATAAAAATGAAGTAGGTAAGAGTGTCATGAAATTTTTTTATCATATTCGTTTGTCTAATTTTTAGGTTCATTTACACTGATATGACGTTCATAGAAAATAATGGACACGGTAATATGTGAAAATATCCGGTTTTATTATTGCGATTCGCCAAATAGTAGATATGATATGGCAAATCCCCTATATTTTATATCCTATCCTATCCAATCTTATCATGGCTAGAAATTCAGATGACCAAACACAGCCCAGGGGTCTTTAATTATAACTACATAAAATCCTAATTAAGAAGTTGCCAAAAAGGAGAGAGACTCATTAGACCACTTGATTGTATACTATAATCTATGGGGAAATTTGTCCAAAAAGCCCTAAACATATTGTACTTTTGCTAATTCGGTTATAAACTTTTTTATTGTATCAAATCATTTCACGTTTTGCCAATTGAGTTCGTCTGGCCAATTTTGGACGGAAACTACTGACATGTATGCTGGCCATCCTATGTGGCATGGTCGACGTTGACATGGATAATTTTTAATAATATTTTAATAAAAAAATTTAACTTTTTTTATTTTCCCTTTTTCTTTTTTCCTTCTTTACTTTTTTTCTTTTTTTTTCCTTTTCTCTTCTCTTCTTTTTTATTTTTCCCTCCGCCGGCCATTGATGAGGCTTGGTGATGGCTAGCGGAGGGAACAAGGAAATAATAAAAAAGAAAAAAGAAAATAATAAAAGTAAAGAAGGAAAAGAGAAGAAAAGAAAAAAGGGAAAGATAAAAACTAAAAAAAATTATTAAAAATTGTCATCGTCAATGCCGGCCGTGTCACATATGACAATCGACATCTACGTCAGCGATTTCAAATCAAAATTGACCGAATGGACTCAACTGGCAAATCTTGAAAATATTTATGACTGAATTGGCATAATTGAGTAATGTATTTAGGACTTTTTGGACAATTTTCCCATCATCTATGAATTACCAACTTAGAGAAATGTTAGCATCTCTCCATTCATCATATGCCTATGTCAGTGATGTTCGCGTCACATACCTACATCGATTATTTTACTCAATTTGATGATCTTGATTACCCATCCGTTGATGTAAGCTAGCTATTTTTGGCTTTGAATGAGCTTGAAACAGATCCAAGTTTTGTTTTGCCTTAATGAGTTATGCTAATTTTCCTAACGTACAGTCTTGTTCGTCGAATAGAAGCTAATTAAGTAAATGAAGTTGCCCTAAATATGAAAAACTATTGAGATCATTAATTGCAAATATTCACTATAACATCATCATGAAACATTGTTAATACTAGAGTTATCCAAATTTTAAACATAGAATCGTGGGAGGAACGTTACGGATTTGTAAGGGCGGGTTGATCATATAACGTATGGTCTTGTTCATCGAATAGAATCTAATTAAGTGAATGAAGTTGCCCAAAATATGAAAAACTATAGAGATCATTAATTGCAAATATACACTATAACATGGTCATGAAACATTGTTAATATTGGACTCATCCAAAATTTAAACATAAAATTGCAGGAGGAACGTTAGGAATTTGTGGGGCGGGCCGATCATATCCATCCCTAGCCTCCAATCCATTTGGGTAGGGAGCGTGGGTATCCATCATAGTGGGTAAAATTTACATTTCTAAAAGCATATTATATTATAATCCCGAAATACTCCAATACTTACAGAAGATAGAAGATGGAAAAAAAGGTAAACCTGAGCAGGTCATTAAAAGGCTTGAGGGGAGATAGGAGAAGGAACTTCCGGATATGGTGGAGGGATCTTTCTCTAAGTTTTCTCCGTATTCCGTCTCTCTCGGGAAGAAAAACAACATGAGGGAAACTTTGGAGTCTGCAAGTGGGGAAGGTAGACTCCACCCATAGGTATCCATCAGGGTGGGTAAAATTGTCTTTTCAAAATATATATTATATTATAATCCCGAAATACTCCAATACTTGAAGATGGAAAATGGGAAAAAAAGGAGTCAGCTTTTTTCCCCCTTTGTCTACATTATAGATTGAAATTGGTACTTCACAAAACTATTTATAAACTTTCTGGTTTTGTATCTCTTTTTTGAGCTATTTTGGACTAAAAGAGATTACACCCATGAACTTACTCAGCTTTTCGATTGTTATAAACGGAAAATGATTAGATACACTTGCCATATACCAAAACTAATAGAGATATGTACCAACATACTCGCAAAACACAATGTCACTTTGCGAAATACTTCCACATTCATCCATGGAAATTTAATTATAGCCAGGACAAATCCTAATTAAGAAGTTGCCAAAAAGGAAAGGAGCTCATTGGACTTGGTTGTATACCCTAAACATCATCATCATCTTCGAATTGCCTATTTAGTGGAATATTAGCTCATGCCCATTTTCATATGCCTATCTTAATGATATTTGTGTCACAAGCCTTACGATGATACCTTTGCTTAATTTGATGGTTTTGATTATATCTTTGGCTTTTTGAATGAGCGCGTGATGTATCCAAGATCCGTTTTGCCTTAACGTGTCATGCAAATTTTCCTAAAGTACGGCCTTGTACGTCGAATAGAAGCTAATTAAGTAAATGAAGCCGCCTAAAGTACAGTAAACTAGTTATATCGTCGTTACAAAAAACCGTTTTCTATATAGACGGATACATTAATGTGAATTTTGGTGTTTGCTTTATCGCATGATCTTTATCATTTCTTTGATCAATGGAGTAATGAAAATGTGGCTATCCAAGATGATAGGTATGTGATGGCCAGATATAATTCCATATTAGGCTTACAACTCCAATCTGTCTTTTCTTTACTTGATATTTGGCCAATGCCTGATTGTTTTGATAAGTATGATCTTAAGGAGTTAACTTTACACGTGTCAAAACCCAATTGCTTCTTAATTTTGGGTAATTACACGTTTGTGTTTCATGAAATGTATCTGAAAAAACTTTCCTTACGAGCACACTCAGCTCCTGTATCAACCTCTTTAAATGTTTGGCTTCTCTTCACTCCACAGTCCACACAAGATCAGGTTGACAAACCCTAGCCCATTACAAGGTTGCTTCTCTAAGTTGGACTACTGTAAGTCTCTCCCTCCCTCCCTCTCCCTCTCCCTCTCCCTCTCCCTCTCCCTCTCCCTCTCCTCCTCTGTGAGAAATATTTTTTGGCTATTTTTCTCTTAATTGGAGTTTTTCTTTACCATGAGCTTGATCTTAAACCATAGGTCAATGCCCTGAAAATGGCTTCTCAAAATGCAAATCTAGCTACCAAAGAAAATTTTTCACTGGATCTATTTTTTATGGATTTTTTCCTAGAGATTTGATAAATTCTCGTATTCAATGTTCACTCCACCTTATTTTTCCCAAAATTTAATTGGATCAATGATGGAGTAAGCTTTAACTCATTGGCTTAGTTTGAACACCGTTAGATTAGTAGAAAGTCACGCAGTTCATTGATTATCTGTGATTGACTTGATCCGTACGAATGAGATCATAACACGTTCCATCCCTTTTCGGGTTCTTCTTCTTTTCGGTTCCTTCCGGCCATAGAAGATTAGATCGGTGCTCAATTCATGATGCACTTGATCCAGGGTTCGGATCATCGATCTTTTCTGGCAGCCTCATTATAATGGTTGTTGGTCTCTTTTGACTGGAGACTAGATAACCGCTCTCTTGGGCGATCAGAACGTAACAAAAGCGTGCATACGTTATGAAAGCCTCTGCACAAGAGATGTGAGCATCCTCATGAGGTCTTAGTAATGATGATTATCGTTTTTTTGCTATTTAATTTATATCTCATTCTATCGATTTCTGTGTAAGAAGCCAGTTCAGTTTGTTTACTCGTCAAGTGCTTTTTTTGCGACTTCTTTCATGCATTGCCGGGTCTCTCTCACTCTCATGTAATAAACACTTTATGAAGCTAGAGTCTCTCTCATCTCCTAAGTTCATCATGTATTATTACACTTCAAATCTTTTTTGAATTATTGAAGCATGTACACCAATTACCTAGCTTTTCTACATAAAAATAGAACAGAAAAAGATGCTTCATTTTCAGATCCGCACCGACCGACCATGGATTCTGAGGGGGTTCAACAAGCTGCTGCCATGAACGGCTCTACTGATGAGAAGAACAAGCTGGACCTGGCACTACGGCTGGGATTACCTGATAATGGCGAAAACCCACCCAAAGATCAGGGTCAACAATTTGACCCCGCTCTTTTGGCTACTGATAACAATGTCGACTTGAGTCATCTTGCTCTTCGCTCTCAGGTATGATTATTGCTTCAGTTTCTTGCTTTTAGGTTTTCTTTTTTCTTTGGAATCATTATAGATTGTGCATACAATACTTGAGTTTCTTTTGGATGTTTCGAGCTACTGCTTGTTAGGTCATCTTGATCGTTAGCAATTGGATGGTAGTTGTGACTTTGTTAGGACGAATCTTGTATTATAGCTGGAGATATTGAAAAAGGAAAACTCTACAATATGTGTTTTGACCCCGGTGCCTACATAGTAGGTTATGCGGCAAAAATAAAGTTATACATTATGATCATTCCTAGTTAAGTCTAGCTTTAATGATCTGATCCTTCCTTTTGCAAAGGAAAATGGTGTTCAAACTAATAAATGGTGAAGATCAGGTGTAACTCACTTACTAGACTTAAATATGGCGATCAAACTTGTACATCTCGATATGTCATTTGCATGCTTCATTAATTTGGTAAATGAATGGAGTCCAATTCACGATCCATTTACGATCATTATGACTAATCATTGAATGAGATGCCAAATTTTATTGAACTTACGTATATATGTATTGAACTTCACTTGTTCATTAAAAGATCATATTTAGAGACTAATATATCCTAAATGATCCAGCTATTTTTGCATTATTTGTTTTTGTTAAAAAAATCATTCCAGCAATTTTATATTAAGGGTTTGACTAGCTTGTGTTATGTTTGAACTTCTCCATTGTCAACTTCTAATTACAAAATAAGATACACCATTGATAACTTAAATACTAAGTAAGATTACTGTAGTGATATCATTCATTTCTCTTTTGTTATGTTTATGTATTAATTGATATTTCATCTTGGATGATTCTGTCCCCTCCCCAATGTTGATTTCTATTGACAATGTTCAACACAACTAACATTTTTCTTTGGTGATGCAATTAATTGCTTGAATAACTAGGGGGAAAAGGACAATCATGTGCCTCATGGAGGAGTTCATATCAATGCCGATGCATTGCCTCTCGAATTGGGAATTCATGACTACTATGCAAACCCTACCAAGCACTGTGCTTCATCAACAGGAATTGATCTTTCTCCTAATAACCCTCCTGTTTTTCCTGGTTGGCCACTGATGGTTGTAAGCAACACCAGCAACCTATTTGTCGACATATCCCAGGAAAATAATATGGTGTTAGGGACAAGCTCGTCGTTTGGTAGGCCTCCGAAGTTACCAATTAGACGCCGTCGACAGGGTCACGATGCTACCGACAACTCTACCAACAGGTGTGCCAACCCTTTGTGCAACGCCACTACTTCCCCCATGTGGCGCCGTGGCCCTCTTGGCCCAAAGGTATGGAACCTACGAACTTTCCTTCATTGTATAGCCTTTATATACAAATGTGATTGACTATTTGCTGTGGTTGAATTGGGATGATTTGGAGTAGGTAGGATAAAACATGAGGTATACATAGCATTTTTTCGTTTATTGAACTACATCGTGAATTTTGATTAAATTTCCTTAGCTCATTGCTTTCACTTCAGCTATAGTAAAGGTCAGAAAATGAGATACATCCGCTATATTACCTCACATATTTAATTATCGATCACAATACATATTTTGAAAAAGTATGGATAAATTGACAAAAAGACACGAGGTTTTGGAGTAATATTAGCTCCCTCTTTATTATTGTTAGAACTTGTATGAGATTGATCTTTTCCTTTATTTAAAAGTATGTCATATGAGTGTTGTTTGTTTTTCAGACACTATGCAATGCATGTGGAATCAAGTATAGAAAGGAGGAGGAGAAAAGAAGGACTCAAGCGATTATGATGCAGCTGCATGAGCTCGCTACTGCTCGTCATAAACCAGCTGCATGAGAGGGAAAGAGTTACCGCCGCATCGATTTTCATTATTATAGTATTTACCAAATAATAATCTCAAATCCGAGAAAGACTCTTGTTGAAGTTTTGCCGACTCTTGTTGAAGTTTTGCCATCTCCTAAATTTCTCTGCTTGTGTTTTCTTTGTAGTTTATGAGTTCAAAGACATTATTGTTTGTTTGATCTCATGGTTAATCGGTATGATATTATATTGGCTTGTTGATTTGAAATATCTCTTCTAGTTAGGCTGACAAGAAACATCAAATTGCAACCGTAGACTTTGATTGAGTCGAGAACTTCTTACAAAAATCAAAGACACTCAATCACTATATTCTAGGATTTCTCGCAAGAAAGTTTTGATCTCTCTAAGATCCTAGCTAGACACCGATTTGCCTTATTGCAACGAATTGGAGCTTTTTGGGCAATTGGCACACAATAGGACAAGTTGACGATGAAATTTATTATTCGCATTTCACATTGACATAGCCACAAGATTGTATTTTACGATAAGTTTTAACAATATAGTATGAGTAACCAATTATTTCTACAACCTACATTCATCATTATTGATTCGAATAGTTAGTCAATTTTTTAAACTATTACTACGCATGCCAATGATGGTTATGGATGTGTACCATATAAAAATCCTATTATTTTGGTACACACATGACATTCTAGCTCTTTAAAATGAGTTCCCGCTTAGTGACGCATGGGATTGCAAGCAAGGGTGATAGCAGAAATATTAATCTCTAGAGTCTTATAAATTGAGAACCGAAAAACAAGCAATTAAGATATGTTATGTGAACAATCACTTATTTGATTTCAACAATTCTTTTTATGAGGGAGGGAAGAACACTAGAAGTGCCAAAATTTATGTATAGCGCTCACTTTAGTGCCAAAAGTTTTCGCCGGATTACTTAAGTGTCAAATCAGAGAAAAAATGATTACTTGAGTGCCAACGGCGAGAAATTCTGGCCAAATTAATACATGACTTTTATAATTAAGATTTTAATCTGAGTTGGGTTTTTTAAAAAAAAAAATCAATCTTTGTGGCATTTCCATGTGTATATTTCGATTTTTTAAATATTTTTTCTCATTTTTTCCTTTTTTTCCTTCTTTCCTTCTTTTCTTTTATTTCTTCTTCTTTTACCTTTGGCCGGTGACCGGACACCAGCCACCGACCATGGCTAGCTGCTTGGCCTCGCCTGGACGAGGCTGCCATCGCTCGCCATAGGCGAGGCCCAGCCGACTCTCGCCTGTGGCTTTCGAGGGCGGCCTCGCCCAGCCCAGATCTGGCGAGGCTGACCCTCACTTGTGGCGGGCGACGACGACCTCGTCTGGGCGAGGCCAGGTGGCCAGCCATGACCGGTGGCCGGTGTCCGGCATCAGCCAAAGGTAGAAGAAGAAGAAAGAAAAGAAAAAAAGAAAAGAAGGAAAAAAAGAAAAAAAATCAGAAAAAATATTTAAAAAATCAAAGTGTACATGCTAAACTACATTGTTTTGAAGTGTACATGTTGATTGCACATGTTGACTAAACCTTCGGCGAGCCACATCGGCTTCAGAAATTAGTAAAAAAATGTTACGTCGGATTTTTGGCCAAACTGACCGGAGTTGGCATTTAAGTGATCGTTTTTCAAAAAGTTTGGCACTTAAGTGATTCGGCGGAAACTTTTGACATTAAAGTGAGCGCCGCACACAAATTTTGACACTTTCAGTGTTTTTTCCCCTTTTATTAGGTAATGCGGTAAAAGAAAAAAGAGTGCACTGCTAATATATTATGATCATTCCTAGTTAAGTCTAGCTTTAATGATCTAAACTTCTCGTTTGAATAAGAAAATGGTGCTCAAACTAAGAAATGGTGAAGCTCAGAAGAAGGAATTTGCGTCATATAGCTTTCTTACAAGACTAACAAATGATGGTCAAACTAGTATATATCTATATGTCATTTGCATATTTCATTAATTTGGTAAATGAACCGAGTTTAATTCGTTATCTTTTTTCGACCGTTATGATTAATCATTGCATATAATACCAAATTTTATTGAACTCATGTATATATGTGCTGAACTTTCCAAGTTTATTAAAACTTGATCATATAATTAGATACTACTACATCTTAAAGGATGTAACAATTTTTGTATTATTCCCTTTTTGTCCAAAATTTTTTTTAGAAATTTTATATTATGGGTTTGATTGGCTTGTAATATATAAACTTCTCCATTTTCAACTTCTAATTACATTATAAGATTACCATTAATAACTTAAATGCTAAGTAAGTTACTTTAGAAACATTATTCATTCTCTTTGGTTATGTTTATGCAGTACTTGTTAATTCATCTTTGGTAATTCTATTTTCTCCAAAAGGTTAATTTTTGTTGATAATGTTCAACAGAACACACATTTTTTTTGGTGATGCAACTAATTGCTTAAAAAATTAGGGAGAAAATGACAATCATGTGCCTCATGTAGGAGTTTATAGTAATGTTGGTGCATGGCCTATTCAATTGGGAATTCGTGACTACCATAGAAACCCTATCAAGCACTATACTTCTCCATCAACAAGAATTGATCTTCCTCCTAAGCACCTCCTACTTTTCCCGTTTGCCGGTGATTATTGTAAATAACCTATTCTTGACATATCACATGGACATAATATGGGGATGGGATGAGCATTGTCTCTAAGTGGCCTCTGAAGTCATTGGCTAGACGTTGTTGACGGGGCCGTGATGATACCAACAATCATAACAAGAGGTGCGCCAACCGTTTGTGTAACACCACTGCGTCCCCTATGTAGCACGACGGCCCTCCTGGCTCAAATGTATCAATCTTATCAACTTTCTTTCATTATCTAGCCTCTACAAACGTAAATAAACTTCGGTTATATCGCTGAATTGTGATGATTAAGAGTAAGTAGGATAAAACCTAAGGTATACCTATCATTTTTATTTATTTATTAAACTACATCGTGAATTTTGAAAATAACTTACTTAACTCATTGCTTTCACTTCAGCTATAGTAGATGCCAGAATATGAGCTAAATATGAATAATTTTACAAAAAAGCACAAGGTTTTTTGTGTAAACTCTTCTCTACTCTTATTAGAATTTGCATGAGACTGATCTTTCCCTACTTATAAAAGTATGTCATATGAGTGTGGTTTATTTCTCAAACACCGTGCATCACATGTAAAATCAAGTATTGAAAGGAGGAAGACAAAACAAGGACTCAAGTGATTATGCAGTAGTTGCACGAGCTTACTATTGTCTATCATAAACCAGCTACATGAGAAGGAAAGAGCTACCCCACATCAATTTTCATCATTTCGGTATTTAACAAATAATATGTTTCAAATCCACTAAAAACGCTTGTTGAAGCTCTGCTATCTCCTAAATTTCTCTACTTGCGATTTCTCTGTAGTTCTTTAGTATATAAGACATTGTTGGTTGTTTGATCTCATGATTTGTCAGTATGACATTATATTGGCTTGTTGATTTGAATATATATTCGATGCAATATTTCCTGTCATTGTCTTATCTCTTCCCATATATTCAATTGAGAAGAAATATCAAAATGATCATTTATCATGGAGGGGTTCATATCAATGCTGGTGTATGACCTCTCTCTAATTAGGAATTTATGACTACTATAGAAACCCCACGAAGCACTGTGCTTCTCCACCAACAACAATTGATCTTTCTCCTAATCACCCTTAGTTTTCCTGATTGCTGGCGATGATCATAAACAACCTATTCGTCGACATATCCCAAATAAATAATATGGTGTTATGGATGAGCTCTTCTTCCGGTGGGCTTTTGAAGTAATCGGCCAGAAAGGGTCGATGGGGCCATGATGATACCGACAATCCTAGAAAGAGGTGTGCCGACCCACTGTCCTATACCACTACTTTCCCTATATGGTGCGGTGCCCTCTTGGCCCAAAGACATGAAACCTACCAACTTTCTTCATTATCCAGTCTCTGAATACATACGTAAATAAACTTTGCTTAACTATTTGTTATATATGAATTGTAATAATTTGGAGTAGGTTGGATAAAACATAATGTATACTTAGCAAACTTTCATTTATTGTATTACACCGCGAATTTTTGTTATAACTTACTTAGCTCATTGCTTTTGTTGAAAAAGTCCCTAGTGATATTTTGAAGACGACAGAATAATTAAAAGCTACTAATGTATGTATTTGTTGAGCAAGACCAGATGAGAGATGTATAAGTCAATATGCAAATGGTGTCCTAATAGGATCGTCCAAAAGTGAGAAGTTCTCTATTAAGGGTGAACAAGATATTAGATGCCGAGGCGTCTACAAATTGAATGGACCTGAGGTGAACAAGCCTTAAATGAGGAGTTTGATAAAGCATAGAGGTACCTTGTATAGATGAACAGCTAGGTCAAACCATGATTGCCAATATGCTTGGAAGGATCATAATGTAGACGTGAAGTTAATATACTTTGCCAATAATGAAGGTATCCATGTATGAAGTAAAAGACTGATAGTAAATGGATGAACCTTTATGGAGGTGAACAAGTCATGAAGAATGAGAAGTTCGTGGAGACTTGGAGTTATCATACAAGGTGAACAATTTATGTAGTCTTGGATCATCAAGATACTGAATAAGACCAATATATAGCAGCTCATGAATTGAATACCAGTGGGCAGCTTGGATGTACTCACGGATTGTTAATATAGGTAGTCGATTATATTAACTAAGAAGATCAAGATATTTCTTTGACTAATCTTATAGGTCAAAAGGGACTAAACAGCTATCTTCGGGGACTGAAATTATAGAAAGAATACTTGAGATAAATCAATTGGTTTATTACCAAATTTAGATAAATGGATTATTAAAAAGTGTGGCCAACTGTATTAATAGAAACCTCATAATTACCAAAAGATTTGATTGTATGAGCAACCAGATCTCTGGTGATTGTGTCCATTAATTCCAATGGCTAATTGATCCTCTTGAAGCTCCTCTAACGAC